CTGACTGCCCTATGTCTAGATGTTGTATCTATCTGACTGCCCTATGTCTAGATGTTGTATCTATCTGACTGCCCTATGTCTAGATGTTGTATCTATCTGACTGCCCTATGTCTAGATGTTTTATCTATCTGACTGCCCTATTTCTAGATGTTGTATCTATCTGACTGCCCTATGTCTAGATGTTGTATCTATCTGACTGCCCTATGTCTAGATGTTGTATCTATCTGACTGCCCTATGTCTAGATGTTTTATCTATCTGACTCAAGGTTTTACCTGGCATTCGAGAACTCTTTCTGCAAGGACTACATCACTGAGAAATTTTTCAAACTCTTCAAAGACGTTGACGTCATACCTGTCGTTAGAGGCAGTGGCGTAGCGAGGTCGGGTGTCACCCGGTGCGGCACTTAATGGTGTCACCCCCCCAGAGGCATAGAGACCCTTCCCAGGGACAATCTTTCAAATTGTCGATTTGCACCCCCCCCCTCAAACTTTCGATTTGCACCCCCCCTCAAGTTTTCGATTTGCACCCCCCCCCCCCTCAAACTTTCGATTTGCACCCCCCCCCCCCCTCGAGTTTTTCTCTATATATTTTGCTATTTTTTGCCTTGGTGTCACCCCCCTAAATGGTGTCACCCGGTGCGGTCCGCACCCCCCGCCCCCCCCCTCGCTACGCCCCTGGTTAGAGGTGACTTTAACTACAAGAAATACCTGCCCTCTGGGATCTTTGTCGACGCCGCTGATTTTTCGGTGAGTTCTTCGTGTGGCGTCATCTTCGTTTTAAAATAAACCGGTAGTGATCTCCCCTAAACTTTCTCGAATATTCTTATGTAAAACAACAGGGGATGGTAACTGGGGATATAGTTATGATTTTTAATCCATTTTAAATAAAAGCTTGTAAAAATAGAATAGAATCTCATAAAAAAAAACATTGCGCACCAAGCAAACGCCGAATAAAAACGCGTATAATAGTGCGCAATATTATTAGTACTTTAAAAATTTACATTAGTTTTTTGAGAAATCGGAAGTAGCGTAAATTACTACTTCCAGTCAACGGAAATTACTCAAAATTTAACAGAAGGTAGAGAATTAGATCTTTTACTTACATGTGAAATTTCATTTATCTATCTGAAATAGTACTCAAGTTATAGGCTTTTGAAAAATTCAAAGTAGGAAAAGTACCACTTGCGGTTATCGGAAATCGCTCAAAAGTTGATACGGATCTACGATTTTGATAAAATACTTATATATGAAATTTCATCAACCTAGCTGTAACGGTACTCAAGTTATCGTGTTTACACACGGACAGACACACACACGGACAGACACACACACACACAGACATACGGACAAGATTGCAAAATTATGTTTTTCCGTATCAGTGAGGTGTAAAACGTCGAGATTTGTAAAAATCTCGATTTTTTTTTTTTTGCACGATTACAATACTTTCTCTATACTACGTATATACGAGAAAGTAAAAAATGATGAGATGATATATTAATACTAATAGTTTCGCTGTCTGTCTATCTGACAAGAACGCTCTGTCTGACAAGAACGCTCTAGAGAAAACACAAGCAATTTAAAAACATGCACAGTAATTCGAAAAACGAAATATGACGTCGACACATTTAGCGTAGAGTAGAACATAATCTCAAACCAGAGAGTGCACACAGTAATATGACGTCATTGATTCTAGCGTAAACATTGAAAAAAAGGAAATGTTGTCTAATCTAAATGGTTTGCGTGAAGAGTTTCTTGCATACAATTCTTCGGGTAGGGGCGAAGCCCCACCCCCCGCGTAAGAACGTCTGAGCCCCCCCCCCCCCTCCCCAACTCAAAAGAAATTTCCTCATCGATACTCTATAATAAAATTACCAATGTGTCTAATCTAAAAAGTGGTTTTCTTGCAATGGGACAGTAGACATGTTTTTTTTTGGGGGGGGGGGGGGGGGTGGAGGGGTGGGGGGGGGGGGGGGGTGTGTGTGTGTGGGGGGGGGGGGTGGTGTGTGGGGGTGGGGGGTGGGGGTGGGGGGTGGTGTGTGTGTGGGGGGGTGGGTTGGTTTCAGTGTTTCTTTCAGACTTTTTCCTCCCCGGAGAGGGGTGGGGGTACTTGAAATTTTCGGGGGCGGGGGTAGAATTTTCTGGGAGGGGGCGGACACTGGAAAAAGTATATAATTATATTTCGTTGAATGGGACGGTAGACATGTCTTTTTTGGTGGTGGGGGGTGGTGGAGGGGTGGGGGAGGGGTGGTGTGTGTGGGGGGGGGGGGTGGGTGGGGGGTGGTGTGTGTGGGGGGGGGGGGGGTGGGGGGTGGTGTGTGGGGGGGGGGGTGGGTTTGTTTCAGTGTTTCTTTCAGACTTTTTCCTCCCCGGAGAGGGGTGGGGGTACTTGAAATTTTCGGGGGCGGGGGTAGAATTTTCTGGGAGGGGGCGGACACTGGAAAAAGTATATAATTATATTTCGTTGAATGGGACGGTAGACATGTTTTTTTTGGGGGGGTGG